GCTCGGCTTAAATCGTGTTATAAATTTGTGCAATGCTGAAAAGTCGTGTTCAGTCGTATGAAGGTCGTATGAAGGTCGTGTGAAAGTCGTGTTAATCGTATTTTGGTCACGTGTAGTATATAATCTGTATTGCAACAGCATTTCTGTGTCAGTCTTCACCATGTTCAACAACGAACAAGACCCGCAAGAAGCAGCTTTGGAGGAGGTACTTCTGGTAGCTATGGCTTTGGTGGTGAGGGGTAGGAGGCAGCGTAGGCGTCGCAGAATGAGGAACAGGAAGAGATTCTGGGTTCGACCATGGTTGTTGAGGAGACCTTTGCATGGGCAGTATGAACACCTAATGCAAGAACTGTATCGTGAAGATGTGAATACATTTACCAACTTCTTGCGTGTCACTCCGGAGATGTTCATGGAACTAGTAGAACGCGTTGGTCCTCGTATTGAAAAAAAGGACACCTGACATCATGTGATGGGCTCTTCCGGTCGTATGACAAACGTATGGATTTCGTGTTCAGGCGTATGGGAGTCGTATGAAAGGCTTATGAAATCGTGTTGAATCGTGTTAAAACGTATGAAGGTCGTATGAGTTTCTTCCCACGCTCCCAACACGACTGAACGCGACTGAACACGACCTCCATACGACTGAACACGATCTTCATACGATTGAACACGACTGTCATACGACCTTCATACGACCTTCATACGACTGAACACGACTTTTCGTATGTTAAGTCGTATGGGCGTCGTATGACAGTCGTGTTTGGACGTATGGGAGTCGTATTGGGGTCGTGTTAAATGACGTTAAATCGTGTTGTATCGTATGAATATCTTATGACGGTCGTACGACTGTCGTGTTCAGTCGCATGAAGGTCGTATGATTGTCGTTTTTGGTCGTATGAGAGTCGTGTTTGGTTAAGACATTTGCATAAACCACAAGGTCGAGCACGAATCAACACGATTTTTCAACTTTTTAAATCGTGTTCGCAATTTCTTAAATCGTGTATGTGAGATAGGGGCTTTTCTGATAGCGTCATCATGCACTAAGAGTATCACCTGTCGCAGGACACTTTCAAACACACGTGTTGTGTCAGTTTTATCTACTGAAATATGTATGGTGTCAGTTCGTGTGAAATTCAGTGCATAGTAGCACATGTTTATATGTATATTATTTATATGTATATATTGTGTGTGTATCGTTATAAATGTGTGTCATAAACTTAAGTCTCCTTGTTTATCTTAATGCCTCGTGTTTGAAATATGTATCGTGTCAGTTCGTGTCGTGTGATTATGTGTGTGATTATGTTGTGAATTTCTTTATATGTTTTTCACAAGTGTACCATAGCACATACTTGTACACGAGTGAATCTAATCTCACCTTTCTTTCTCTCTCTCTCCCCTTCTCTCTCTCTCTCTCTCTCTCTCTCTATATATATATATAGAGAGAGAGAGGGAGGGAGAGAGAGTTATAGAGTGTGAAATTCAGTGCATAGTAGCACATGTTTATATGTATATTTATATGTATATATTGTGTGTGTATCGTTATAAATTTGTGTCATAAACGTAAGTCCCCTTGTTTATCTTAATGCCTTGTGTTTGAAACGTTGCGTTTTTGTGGAATTCAGAATATAATTGTAACTTTTTATCATTTTTTTATCTTTACGTGCATGATGCAACTTTAGGCATGTTTGAGGGTCTGAACCACTTTCTGAGTCCTTTGTGTTTCTGGTTTATTAGAGACGTTTATGAATGTCCGCAGGCTTGTCAGACACGACGAGGATATACTACTGACAGACGGATGCTATAACGTATATGGCATGATGTGATGTTGAGATACAATAGGTCGTTATTAAGACAGGAATAATCTATCAAATTACACATTTCATAATGAAAAACAACCGCTCGAGGTTAAGATGAAACCACAGGGAAAGAATTGGATTTGTTTTCAAGCGTGCCACAGACCCCTTTAATGATGGTGAGGTGTGTCCTTTTCAACTACTACTACTACTACTACTACTCCTACTCCTACTCCTACTCCTACTACTACTACTACTACTACGACAACGACTACTACTACTACGACGACGACTACCACAACAACTACTACTACTACAACTACTACCACAACTACTACGACTACGACTACTACTACTACTACGAAAACGACTACAACAACTACTACTACTACTACAGATCAATGTTTGTCCTATGCACACGCGGATATAACATGTGTAAACGTATTGACATTATATTTATCGCATTCACATTAATAATAACAATAAATCAATCAATCAATCAATAAATAAATAAATAAATAATAGTTTTGATCCATCATCGAACCCGGACAGTATCATTTCACCAAAACCAGATGACACAGAGTTGATATTTGACCCATTCCTTTTCACCGACATTGGTATTTCCCTCTTCCTTTTCTGAATTTTTGAAATATATTTGTGAATCAATCGTTCATTACGGGTGTTCATCATGTACCTTGTGATTACACGTTTATATATGGTTTCATATAATAAACAATGCCACGTGTATTCTGTATCATTGTGGTTAACTATACACAGTTTCTAGCTGGGCCCTTTAGGAACCGGGGCGTTATTTTCACCGTTTAATTTTTAATTGTGCCATCGGAATCCTTCTTTGCATTAAGCATGTTCACATGATCATCATCGTCCGTGTGTTTGTCACGTGTATTTGGTTTCAAACGGGGTGGTGGGGTAGCCAAGTGGTTAAAGCGATCGCCCGTCACGCCGAAGGCCCGTGTTCGAATCCCCACATGGGTACAAATGTGTAAAGCCTATTTCTGGTGTCTCCCGCCGTTATATTGCAGGAATATTACTAAAAGCGGCGTAACCCATACTCACTCATTCTGGTTTTAATACAATAAACAATGTCCAAAGGTATTAACTATACATAGTTTCTGGGTGTGACCCTCAAACACCTGCAAGTTATTCTAACCTTGCCGACCCGTGAAGATCCGGGGTAGAATAGGTCTTCAGCAACCCATGCTTGCCGTTAAAGACTATGCTTGTCCTAAGAAGCGACTAACGGGATCGGGTGGTCAGGCTCGCTGACTTGGTTGATGCTTGTCATCGTATCCCAATTGCGTAGATCGATGCTCATGATATTAATCACTGGATTGTCTGGTCCAGACTCGATTATTTACAGACCGCCGTCATATAGCTGGAATATTGCTGAGTGCGGCGTTAAACAACAAACAATCAATGTTAACCTTGCCGTTACGATTTTAATTGTGCCATCGACACTAATATACAAAGAATTTAATATGATATCTCCAATTGGTTGTTACAGATACAAATTCGTCTATTCGGAAATCATTTCATATGCAACTAAAACATTATCATATATATTGGGATCGGGCAATGACAAAGCCGGCCTCGGTGATCGCTATTTGTTCATGCTGATTCCCTTGACATTGGACACATGCCTGCAATACGAGTTGGCAAGAGATATTCCAGCCCAGACTTCGCCTAAAGCAAATGCATATCTCAATAGACACGCAAATTGTATTGTCTACCTTGCCGAGAGCAAGCGATTATGGGTATACACATATATTAATCTTGACACGTCTTGGTGTGACTAGTTAAAAATAGCATCAACACGGGACTGTGTCTATAAATAGGCAGTCAATGGGGTCCAAAGTCATGAAATTGAGCCATTGACGTCATTACCTGTAACATTGAACAGGCGTTCACAATGTTAACAAAAGGAATGATGCAGCGTTAAAGGGATGAAGCGTTATCATAATGTCGCGTCATGAACATGACCTACATACAGTCATGTGTGACAAGTAGACACTCCGCCGTGTTGTTCAAGTGCGCGCTGATGGCGAAATCACTGATAAAATCGCGAGTGTTTTTTGTACAGGGTATTGTTGGATATAGTATATAGGGTGACGTGTGTGGGTAGGGTCTCAGAAAGCTTTCAGAACTCGATCTGTTCACCAGGAGCGCCTTCAAGATGGATATTTGTAACATCCTACAGGTGGTAAGTTAACTAGAATATTTTTTTATTTTAATCTGTTAATTAATCAATATGTGTTTGTAAATAACACGTCATTTATGAATGTAAGTATTCATTTTGGTAGACATTGATACAATATATTATTATGTTACAATTATTTTCGACCCCAAAATGCCAAGACTCGAATATTCCGATTCTGATGGCACGTATAAAAATTAAATGGTTAATGGTTAAAGTCATATTGCGAGAATATTGTTGTGTACGGCGTTAAACAACAAACAGACAAACATGATAGGTGACGTAACACTATCGACTAATTTTGAATGGTCCGTTTCTGTTATGAATACAGGTTAAAAATCATTTCGACAAAGGCTGCTTGAATAGTGTTTTATTGTTCAGGAAAAGAATTGGGAAAATTCGTGAACGTATCTGTGCTACGACCCTTAGAGCATATATTTGCCTGGCAGTTTGAGATTCTTGTTCAGAATTTGTTTTCCCATGTGGGTAGGGATGTGTGAAGCCCAAATTCTGGTCACCCTCCGTGAGAAATTGCCTGAATAAAGCCAGTGATTGATATGATGAGCATCGATCCACGCAACTGATATACAATGACGCATCAACAAAGTCAGCGAGCCAGACCATCCGATCCAATTAGTCGCCTCTTACGACAAGCATCGTCACCTTTTACGGCAAGCATGGGTTGCTGAAGACCTATTCTACCCCGGAAATTCAGGGGTCAGAAGCTATTGTAGCGAATGGGTACCGGGTATTTATGTTACTGGAGATATTATACACTGGATTATCGAGGATGAATCACAACGCGATATAATGCAATGGATAACGCGGGGATTAAGAATATCCTGTCGGGGGCGGGGGGGGGGGGGGGGGGGTATATTAAGAGCGTCACACATTGACGGAGGAAAGGGATGGGCGGGATCGTGGGTCAATGAAAGACATCAGTGAGTTTGGGTTTGTTTAGTGGACACGTCGACCACTGTCAATGGAGGGTGTGGCAGGAAACCTCATCGCCATCTGCTTTGTGTGTGCACCACTCCCCATAATTGCGTAAATAATGTGTGCAGTGGAATTTCGTTGTTATCAAATCTTCCATACATATCAGTGACCTATTTCCTTTAAGCGGAAAATCTTCAACCCTGTCGATTTATGAAAGAGATTCCGTTTGTTGAACTGCGTGAGTCGCGGTGTATCTTGTCTGCTACAACATATGTGGTGTCGTGACTGATAAGACATTCCCGGTACATTCGGAGTCTCGTGGGTCGGGATAGTGCAGTAGGACAACTCGTAGCGAGAGTGAGTCCCGCCGTAGGCTACCTGATAACATAAGAGCTTGTACACTCTGGGAGATCGGCGAGAGAGGTAATGACACGGCGATGCGAGGCGAGGGTCACAACTACACAGACTGGATACAGACAGGTCCCTGCTGTGGGCGAGCTTCGACGCCGCTGACAGGTGGACGTCGCAGTAAATTGAACTCTGTGGTCGGTAGAAGAGTTCCTGTGCTGTGTTGAGGGTTCTGTCCGTGTGATACCGTGACAGTGGTGGCTGGCTTTCCGAGAGGGAGAAACGTGTGTGTCAGACACACGCCTTGTTGTGATGGCAGATGCTGGTATTTCTGGATCGTGAACGTCAGCTCGTTGGTGTGAAAGCGACCTCAGGGGACATTTCCGAGGTGATTAGGCAACCTGTTCGGAGTATTTCGGTGGTATTTTCCGATGATATACAACATTTCATTCTGTGCCTCGTCGTGTCACGACTCAACACGCAAGAAAAGCCAGGACAACGCGCACCTGTTTCAGCGTAAGCAGCTATAACACCTGTTGGCGGACGTGCGGCATTGGAGTGAATATGCGTGTGTATGTTAGAGGATATTCATTGGGATATACGTTTCGTGTGAGTGTCTGTGTACCTTGTATTTGACAGGCGAGGGTCCATATCCGTGGTATGTTGAAATGTGTCATGTGTATATAATGTAAGATTGTAAGTTTTTACAGTATGTGTAAAGTTGAAAACAGGATTCGTGAGTAGTAGATATTCAGATGTTTTTCCTGGAATAAGTCTATTTGGGGGACAAACTTTCCTTCCTTGCTGACACTTACACTTACAACCATTTACAAGCTGATACAAGAATTTATCCAGTAAGAAAAATCAAGAAATGTTTTCACAAAATATACTTCACCCTCTAACCCTTATCACTCTATGGCTGTTGTATTGCCCATCTTATGTAGACGTTTATCTCACCCGATTAGTTTCGTATGTGAGTGTGTGAGTATGGTTTTCCGCCGCTTTTAACAATATTCCAGCAATATCATGGCGGAAATGGGCTTCACACATTGTACCCATGTCGGGAATCGAACCCGGGTCTTCGGCGTGACGAGCGAACGCTTTAACCACTAGGCTACCCGACCGCCCCCATGTCATGTCGTGTTTTTTAACTTGTTTTATATCAAGTTGGTTGACTGATACGGACGTGTTTCTATAGTGACCTTAATCTATTGACAGGTTAACCTAGGGTCGCTAGCTAAAGTGTACCTAAGGCAGACCGTGAAAATCCTCACGCCAGAAACATAATTTATCATTTTTGGGTCGAGAAGAGTCATGGGCATACGTTAGGTCAAGTTCGACTGAGTTGAGGGGCGGTCGGGTAGCCTAGTGGTTAAAGCGTTCGCTCGTCACGCCTAAGACCCGGGTTCGATTCCCGACATGGGTACAATGTGTGAAGCCCATTTCTGGTGTCCCCCGCCGTGATATTGCTGGAATATTGCTAAAAGCGGCGTAAAACCATACTCACTCACTCACTCACTCACTCAACTGAGTTGATATGCCCTGGTTTGTTTTGGATCTCATAAATTCATGCCTAGTTCATCAACACATGTTGATGAAGCAGTAGGGATGCTGGCGATGGTGTCTGGATTTAACCAGTGTGAATGTTTCCGCCGCTCTTTGTTTTGGAAACCTGGGTCTGTGGGTCAACTATTGATGACGAAAACGGCATATGGGATGAGTCGGCCGGATGGCCCTCTGAGGATGCTTGAGCACCTGTTTCCCGTATCACCCATTGTTCCCATAGTGAAACTACGTCTGGAGCGGGGACACTTAGCATACGGATGTTGTTGAGTGGATGGTCTAGTGTTGTAATATGATGATGTTGGAGAATATGTGTGCAGTGCGTCCTGTTTCGTGATGCAAAAAGTAAGGCCCGTTAATTTTGTACAAATAACAGTTTTCTGAAGAGTATTATAAAGGCACGTGTTTTCGAGGAGGAAAACCATCCTCTGGTATACACATACCTTTGTTCTGTGTCGCGGTTCCGACATTACGAATCCATACTATCAGATACTATGAGTTAGTACTTATGATTGTTCACGTTTGTAACGAACATCGTATATGGCGAACTTATATGCTTGGTCCCTTATATTTCGCAATATACATAGCTGATTGTAATTCTTAATTTATGACAATTTGTTAACGCTAGAGTATGAAAATCCATGCTTTCAAACGGTTGTTGAAAACATTTTGTTTTTTGACGTATGGGAACTTCTGCTAGTTTAGATTAGGTTTATTTATTGTTTATTACTGCACTCAGCGGTATTCCAGCCATATAATCCAGATCAGACAATCCAGTGATTGACGTCATGAGCATCGATAGACGATGTGTTAAGGAGAACGGCTTTTTTGCCAACCCTTGAGCTGACTTGTTTTATCTAAGCACCTGTTAGATCACTGTGACCTTCGATTATCAGATTAGCATGTTGAAGACACTGCATTCCAGGTGCCACGTGACATCCGGGTACAGTAAAGTACGGTTATAACGAACTCAAAGGAACCTCTAATTTTAGTTCGTTATAACCGTAGTTCGTTATAAGCATATATACAATATAACAACAGCATTTTGTCGGGACCAAAAATGTTAGTTCGTTATATCCGTCAGTTCGTTATAAGCGTGTTCGTTATAACCGTAGTTTACTGTATTTAACTGTCGAACGTCTCGTCGTAGCCCATCTAAACTGGTCTCTAAACTGGAGTGTCATAATATTCGGACCTAATTACCTTTATTTATGACAAATTCAGCATTGTGATCAGCTGTTCTAACAGCTTTTTTTCGTTAACCATGTATTATTTGGCTCGGGTTACCTAGTAGTATCCCTTAGCCGCGTCAGGATCCGCTGATCAGGGGTTTGAACCCAGTTCACCCCATCTCGTGTACATATAATATGTAGGATGTTCCATAAGTGATACGTGATGTCAACCAGATAGGACGAGATAGGCGCTGTACCAAGAAGCGTTTAATTGGGGCTATATACAGACAAAGTTACATGTTCTGTTTCCTGCTCTGTGCACGATCTCGGATGTGATTATACAGCCCAGAATGATGCATCTGAACACATCACTAATGTATCACAATATAACTATATTTCCCTGACAGTAAACGCGCGCCCAGCAAGACGAGGACGGACGTGGCAGGGACGATTGTGTTGGTGACCTTGTATCTGTTGTGAATATACTCAGAAAACAGGTATTGTTATGCACCTCTTCATGCGAGAACAACCGCTGGCTCCAGACAAATTGACATGTCAGGGTTGTGAGATATTGAATCCGTTGATAGTAGACAATGGTACGTTGTTCACATACATGGCGCTTGTGATTGAGTGGAGGTAGAGACCTGAGAAGGCCCGTGGCCTTTCTAGGAAGCGGACCGTCTGGCCCTTGGGGTAAGGTATTTTTTGCAAGGTACCAGAGGGTCTTCCTTGCTGTGTATCGTAGGGTCTTCCTTGCTGGGTATCGTAGGGTCTTCCTTGCTGGGTATCGTAGGGTCTTCCTTCTGTGTGTTGTAGGATCTTCCTTCTGTGTGTTGTAGGATCTTCCTTTTGTGTATCGTAGGGTCTTCCTTGCTGGGAATCGTAGGGTCTTACTTCTGTGTGTTGTAGAATCTTCCTTCTGTGTGTTGTAGGATCTTCCTTTTGTGTATCATCGGTTATCCTTGTTGGGTATCGTAGGGTCTTCCTTGCTGGGTATCGTAGGGTCTTCCTTGCTGGGTATCGTAGGGTCTTCCTTGCTGGGTATCGTAGGGTCTTCCTTGCTGGGTATCGTAGAGTCTTCCTTCTGTGTGTTGTAGGATCTTCCTTCTATGTGTTGTAGGATCTTCCTTCTGTGTGTTGTAGAATCTTCCTTCTGGGTATCGTAGGGTCTTCCTTGTTGGGTATCGTAGAGTCTTCCTTCTGTGTGTTGTAGGATCTTCCTTCTATGTGTTGTAGGATCTTCTTTCTGTGTGTCGTAGGGTCTTCCTTTTGTGTATCATCGGTTATCCTTGTTGGGTATCGTAGGGTCTTCCTTGTTGGGTATCGTAGAGTCTTCCTTCTGTGTGTTGTAGGATCTTCCTTCTATGTGTTGTAGGATCTTCCTTCTGTGTGTCGTAGGGTCTTCCTTTTGTGTATCATCGGTTATCCTTGTTGGGTATCGTAGGGTCTTCCTTGCTGGGTATCGTAGGGTCTTCCTTGTTGGTTATCGTAGGGTCTTCCTTGCTGGGTATCGTAGGGTCTTCCTTGCTGGGTATCGTAGGGTCTTCCTTGCTGGGTATCGTAGAGTCTTCCTTCTGTGTGTTGTAGGATCTTCCTTCTATGTGTTGTAGGATCTTCCTTCTGTGTGTTGTAGAATCTTCCTTCTGGGTATCGTAGGGTCTTCCTTGTTGGGTATCGTAGAGTCTTCCTTCTGTGTGTTGTAGGATCTTCCTTCTATGTGTTGTAGGATCTTCCTTCTGTGTGTCGTAGGGTCTTCCTTTTGTGTATCATCGGTTATCCTTGTTGGGTATCGTAGGGTCTTCCTTGTTGGGTATCGTAGGATCTTCCTTTTACGGTTGTAGGATCTTCCTTCTGTGGCAATCTACAGGGAATCTTATGCTTGTTTTCAGAATCGTTTTTGTCCTCGCTGCCAATTGTCATGTTTCCTCTCTTGGAATCGTAGATTAACTTTCAGTGAAGTAATCACGGATGTGTTTCCTGATCTTGTGCTTGACAAAATCATAGGTTAGTACAAAGATATTAATGCCAGGCATGCCAGTTTAATTTGTGTATTCCTGTGTATGTATCCTGTTTGAAGGAAGAACATTGACCCCCATGCACTCCTGTTGCCTAGTACATGGGATGCTTAGAAAACTAAAGACATCAATCGTTGCCATAACTTGTCATACACCCTGCAGTGTTTGTTCCCGTCTTGGATATATCATAACCGCTGCCCTACTAATGACCAGTTGCGCACGTGCTGCGGTGGCACGTGGAATTAGGCTAGTGTGATGGATTTGTTACTGTGATTCACAATATTCCATCTCCGCATCCCGGTGCTATGGTAACATGAGTGATACAGCGTTAGGTATGCAGCTACGTGGTCACGGTTAATCACAATGCAGCGTAAAACGTACGACGGTACAGACATCTCGTCATCAGGTCTGCTTACGTTCTGTAGTGTGTGCGATAGTTAAGTGTTCTTCTCATTGGTTTGAGGCTTAAAGTGGTACTGATGATGGAGTCATTCGATAGGTATTCAATGAAGGGCGTCAGATTGATGTCGGTTTGATTGAAGTATTTTGTGGAGTGAGTACATGAAGCTTCAAGCCGCATCAGCAATATATATATATTTATATTTATTTTTTTATCTATTTTTTTTTTTGTGTGTGTGTGTGTGTGGGGGGGGGGGGATGTGTGGAACGGATGGATGAATGTTGATGTGCGAGTCTTGATTTTCTTGCTACCATTTGTTTTTATTGACCCAAAGTTAAAGCTATTAGTTGTATTAGTTCACTACCGCGCTCTGTTAATGTGATTAGCTGGGTTGCGGCCCTTAGAGGGACCAGGAGCCGCTGATCGTGGTTTCGAATTCTATATTCAACCCGATTACGATTCTTGGCCAATCAGCACCATTCCCTATCTCTTTGGGTCTACAGACATGGAAATGTTGACGACCAACTTTGGGCTTCCCTCTCCGTTTAAGATGACATGTCTTGATGACAGCACTTGCTGAATCTACACTGACCCTTATCATCAGGATAGGTCTACTTGTAGTTTAGCCAAATAGTGTCCATCATACCCCATTTACAGTGCCTTGTCCTGGTCTCGGTGGGATAAATCAAGGTGATACTGTGTCCTTTAATGTAGGGCTAGGACTGAAATAATGTTCCAATCGGCGCGGTACAATGTGTGAAGCCCATTTCTGGTGTCCCCCACCGTGATTTTGCTGGAATATTGCTATAAGCGGCGTAAAACCATACTCACTCACTCCAATCGGCGCTAAACTCAGTTAACTCACTCTTATCAGTGTCATTTTGATTTCCAGCACCTGTCGTCGTAGACATCATTGTGACTGTCATTTCTCCTTGAACTGTATCTCTATACATAAGTAGGATCGTACGCACCCCTTACACGATCAAATCTAACTGCTAGCACCAGCATTGACAACGACATTGTGATAACATTTGATTTACTAAGGAATAAAAAAACAACCATGGGTTGCGTGCAAAGTCAACCATCGAATGACGGCTCCGTGGCGACCCTGTCGTACCATCAACGTTTCCGCAAGGTCAACAACGACGTCTCCGAAAACGAAGCTGCTCTAAACGTCGCAATGAAGTACGCCAAGGACACAAGTTCCAACAGCATGGAGAACTTGAACAAGAAACCGGTGAACACCTCCAGGAACATCTGGGTGAACAGCACCCGAGATCCACCTGAGCATCTACACAAGATGATCCACTCCAGGTTCCCCCTGTGGAAGAAATACGAGAAGTGTACGTTCTGTGTCAAGGAAGACCGTAGGAGGTCGAGTTGCGATGATGACTTCATTAAGATCACCCGCCAGAGGCCTGGGAAGGAGCCCCTGTGTAAGAGATGTTCCAAGGATAGCATGACGCTGAAGCCCAACAACAACCGCCAGTCCCACGGCATCGAGTCTCTCAATGTGGCTTCGTTTGCAAACCTACTAGCACTGGTACGTTCACTGTCACGTTGTGAGTTATCTCCCCTTGTAGTCGGTCAGTCCTGTTATTGTGCCCCTCGTGTTGTCCTGATGTAGGTATTGTGATCCGCGGTTGTCAAACTGAATGAATGAGTTTTAATTTCGCCCCAGCAACAAATAAGCGGTCGGGACCCCGTTCAACGAATCGATAGATCAAATCAAAATGGTTTAACACAGAAGCCCTGAGATCATCGTAAATAGTATAGTTGCGCTGTGAAAGACCACGCCAGACCACGTTATTATATGAACACAATGACTCCCCACACTCCGGGAAGAATGCACATCTATATAGGCTATTCTTATAACAAACCGACCTTGGGATTTCGATTATAAGATTACCCCGAAGAGTCCGAGTGTTAGGGTCACAAGAGAACACTAATTTATAGGGTCTAGCATTACAGTCAGTATATGTCGGCTGCACACCACTGCGTTTGATGGCTCCTTCTGGTGAGGGTGTGTCATTTTAACACCACATTAACGACCGCTGTGATTTTATCGATATTTCTATTAGGATCGTATGCTTGTATTCTCTTATCACCGCACAACATTTACAAACACAGACCTCCATTTAACATTGTCCATGCAACCAGGAGCCGAGTTTCTATCTTGGGTATGTATGGTGTTTAGTATTCACTGTATATATTCACCTTGGAAGAGAGACGGTTAAACGGTACCAAATGTATAAATCCATCTCTTGCTGACATATAGGACTGGTATATATAGACGACAGAGGCTTCGGTGATAAATCTCAATATATTCTATTCTGGCTGGGGGGGGGGGGGGGGGGGGGGGGGGGGGGGGGGGGGGTTATGAGGAATCTGACCCAGACTATGAAACTGTAAGAAGGATGCGTTGAGGCGGCGCTTTTATTATAAATAGCTTCATGGCCAACTGTACCATTGCGTCCGTGACATATTGTAGCGCAGTGAGACTTGGTGGTTTGATTATTGTCTGGTACTTGTTTGACGTCTTACACCATATCTCATTCAAAGATCACCCGAGCAATAATAGATGTAGCAATGTACGAGTAGGGGACACTAGAAGTGGGCCTATGTAGAATCGAACCCGGGCTTTCAGCGTGACAAGCGAACGTTTTATTCAAAAGGCTACCCCACCACCCGAAATGAACAGTGCACCCTCATCAATCAGGACGATATCGTTCAAAGCTGTAATCACCCGGGGTTTCCGGATTAAGGGGGTTTCACTGTGTACATTATTCAGGTCTCGTCACTGTTGTCTTCCTTATAACCTTCCCCATAACCTGGTTCAGTGGCTAGCATGGCGCTGGCGTCCTGTGTATATATTTTCGCAATGTCAGTACATGTTATGTAGTATTTAGAATAGTTTTGTCGGAATAGTAATTTCAAGTAAACGCCAGCTGGTTTGGTTTGTCACTAGCCGGAACGTTGTGGGATAAACCTAGGTGTTTATGTGTCACTTTTACTCACAGTGCCGATTCACGACAACTAAGGGTATTTTGGGGTTTAATGTGTCACTTTTACCCACTATTTACCCACCTATTCCCGGCCACTGAGAGTTATATTTGGTGTATACTGATGCCGTACAGTGGTGTATACTGATGTCATACAGTGGTGTATACTGATGCCATACAGTGGTTCAACTGATGTCATACAGTGGTGTATACTGATGCCATACAGTGGTGTATACTGATGCCATACAGTGGTGTATACTGATGCCATACTATGGTGTATACTGATGCCATACAGTGGTGTATACTAAGGCCATACAGTGGTGTATACTGATGCCATACAGTGGTGTATACTGATGCCATACAATGGTGTATACTGATGCCATACAGTGGTGTATACTGATGCCATACAGTGGTGTATACTGATGCCATACATTGGTGTATACTGATGCCATACAGTGGTGTATACTAAGGCCATACAGTGGGGTATACTGATGCCATACAGTGGTGTATACTGATGCCATACAGTGGTGTATACTGATGCCATACATTGGTGTATACTGATGCCATACAGTGGGGTATACTGATGCCATACAGTGGTGTATACTGATGCCATACAGTGGTGTATACTGATGCCATACAGTGGTGTATACTGAACTGTGTTGTGTATACTGATGCCATACTATGGTGTATACTGATGCCATACAGTGGGGTATACTGATTCCATACAGTGGTGTATACTGATGCCATACAGTGGTGTATACTGATGCCATACAGTGGTGTATACTGATGCCATACAGTGGTGTATACTGAACTGTGTTGTGTATACTGATGCCATACTATGGTGTATACTGATGCCATACAGTGGGGTATACTGATGTCATACAGTGGTGTATATTGATGCCATTCAGTGGTGTATACTAAGGCCATAGGCCAGTGTATACTGAACTGTGTTGTGTGTATGTCACACTGCTATCCATGCTCACGGTGGGATATGTAAAGGTTTCATTGTCTCAGCCCACAACGATGTTAAACTTCTACTATTGTATTTCAGACCGCCCTTGATCTGACCGCACCCGCCAGTGATGCCATTCTCAAGAACAGGAAGAATTCGTGGATACAGGTGGCAGGCCACCCAGGTGAGACACCAATAGTTCAGATGGTCGTGAGACAACGCAAATATGCATGCCCGTGTGCAAGTTGGTGATGTAAGGCCAGTGTCGACCTGATGAAGTTGTCATAAAAAATACGTGCAGTATATTGCTGTATACGCATGACTCGGGTGCAACGGTTGCTGTAGAGTGAGTGAGTGAGTTTGGTTTGGTTTTACGCCGCTTTTAGCAATATTCCAGCAACATCACGGCTGAGGACACCAGAAATGGGCTTCACACATTGTGCCAATGTCGGGAATCGAACCCGGGTCTTCGGCGTGACGAGCGAACGCTTTAACCACTAGGCTACCCGACCGTCCCCGTTGCTGTAGAGAAAGCACCTGGAGTCATGAGCTGCTGTGTGTTCTTCGCTTTTGGAAGACATTGCGTATCTTCCTGGCAGTGCACGTGTACTAATGTGGTTTCGTCTCAGCTTGACAGTTGGTATTTGTGGAACGCAGGTCCCTGCTTCCGCTGAATAGACTTTCATACTCACCTTGTCCTTAACGTTGAGAACGTTTGACATATATAAGCGGGATGTGTCATTCCTATTTTTCGTGTGAGTGAGTTTGGTTAAAGACTTTGAGCTCTACGTCAATAACCACGACGTGTTAGGTTCCGATGGGAGGGGGAGGGGGCACGGGTGGTCCAGTCGTGTAAGGCGCCGCAATTCGCTGAGCAGAGTTGCGTCCCTTAGGCGAGCCAGAAACCAATGGTCATGGGTGCGAGTCCATTCGTCCTGACTATATTCCTGTGTCACCACCTCATGCTTGTGGGTTTCACCAAAGTGGATCACTTTAGGCTTGCCTCCCACATCAAGCTGACACGCCGTGATGTAACTCAAACGTTGTTGGAAGCGGTGTTGAAACCCAAGTGACTCACTCAGATGGCCCAAGTGATGCAGGTCCAGTGCATGTGAATATGATCCCAGGGGTATCGGTTTATATCACTGAGGGGAGCACGGGTTGCCCAGTCGTCTAAGGCGCCGCGATTCGCTGTGCAGAGTTGCGTCCCTTAGGCACGCCAGAAACCTTTGATTGTGGGTTCGAATCCCGGTTCGCCCCGATTATGTTTCGAGGTTTGTCAGCACCATACCCGTGCTCGTAGGTTTCACCGAAGTGGTAAACGTCTGAGACCTGCATCACTTCGGGCTTTCCGCCCACATTAAGCTAACACGCCGCGATATAACTGGAAAACTGTTAAAAGCGGCGTTAAACCCAACTCACTCACTCACTCACTTATATAACTGAGGCTGAAAAACCAACACGCCAACATTGTGGCGTGATGGCGGTACAACAGTGCAGATCTAAGTAGGGTCTGTATTGTGTTCTAGGGTCCTTCGCCCCTGCTGGTCCCAACACAGTCTGGAAGAAACGGATAGCCAAGGAAAACCACGAAACCAAGGCCTATGAAGCCCTGATGGACGATCCCATTACAGAGCCGATCATCCCATTCTTCAGTAGGGAGGTCGAATACAACGGAGAGTGTATCCTTTTGACCATAACAATACAACTATTGTGCATGAAGGATGAGAACTCTGATATCGTTTGTGAAATATTGTCTTTTATTATCCGATTATCTTATTAATTGTGGAACTAGCTGTATCGTCTTCGATTTCGTTGTTCTGGGATTTATGGCCTCTGCTTGTCTCGGAACTACTATCCATATAAATGTAATGGGTCCCATGCATAGACGCATTCGCGTTGTTCTGGCAGAATGCATTTATAGTAAACTACGGTTATAACGAACTCAAAGGGACCTCTAATTTAGTTCGTAATAACCGTAGTTCGTTATAAGCATATATACAGTTTCTTCCATACCTGTCTGATATTGGTGTTAATGTAATAGTGTTTTAAGCGGCCTTATACCCAACTCATTCTACCTGGTAATGTTTCCTTAACGCGGGCCTAGTCTTCATTGAGATGGAAGACCTCCTGCATCACTTCTGTAACCCCAACATCATGGACGTCAAGATGGGAAAGAGGTGAGTGACGCATGGGAGGTAACCCAGAATGCAGGTGTGTGTGACGTGTGACGGTTGATTGACTGAAGGCGTGGCTATGCAACGTCAACGTCCATTAGATGTGTTTATTCCAACATTCCTGTGTAATGGGTCATATGAACTGACAGTTTGAATATATTACCTGGCAAAATACTACAAAAATAACCGCGCTGTAATCAAATCTTTTAGTCATTTAGTACCGACTTACTTCATGCGAACGTGTGTGTTGGTATTAGGTGTGTCACGATAAATCGAAATTTCTATATATTGCCATTGGTAAGCGCTTAAGTCAATAAATCGATTGTTAAATCAGTTTCCGATCAATAGTATTGATTTCAGTTAAGAATATCGATTGTTTCGATTGTACATGCAATGCTGTTCAAATTTGATTTTCTTTTGATCACGAGTGGTAGTAATTTACACATGGTAATCTGGAAGTTTCTTTTTCTTAAATCATTAGGGTAAAAAAATCAAACAAATCAGTCATATCTCAAACATTATTTTTTATTTGTTGTTGTGGTTAACACATTCATAGGAAACTTCAGTTCCAAGGTTTAATTCAACTCTTAAATCCATCTAAAATGAAACACTGATACTATCGATATTTATCGTAGTAGTTGCTTGCAATTTCAATAGTTATCGCAATAGTTTCTTTCAATATCAATAGTTATCGCAAAAGTGATTTCCAGACCAATGGTCAACACAGGTGGTATAGATTTTCACTCAAGGCGATCCGCTCAGATCTGTTACGTCTCCAACTCGCTACTTACGTCAGCGCTAGTCACCCCTCCAAGAGATTAGTGTTTGTTATTTTAAACACAATTCCGCCGCACGATGACTACTATATACCTATAATGTTTTGAACATATTATACGACCTAGGTTATCAAAAATACAAAAAGAAAGACTTGAAATACATCAGGGGTCTCAACCTGGTAGTGCACGACTGCCACACCACGTATTGCCAATATTAAGATTTTTCTACCACTGATTGCCTTGGTGGCCTCGTGGGTAGAACGTCTTCCTGGTGAGCGGAACGACGTGGCTTCGATCCCCAGTCGCGTCATACCACATATGGTACTCGTTATTCAACCTGGCGCTCGGCATATGGGGATAAAACAAGGACCTTTTGGCTCCGAGTTGGTTTACTGTGTCTGACTTTTGGAATATTGCTGAAAGCGAGTAAAACCATACTCACTCAACCAATGAAAAGCCGTCATGAGTCCGGACTAGTACCAGCAGCCACACACACACTTGCACGCCAGTCGCTATATAAGGCTATTCAGCTGGAACATTAAGTGCTGCGTTAAACATTTAACAGACAAACAAACAAAACAGCATGATTGAGTAACTGTTGATGTTTCAGAACATTCCTAGAGTCTGAGGTGAAGAACCCTGTGTTGAGGAAGGATTTGTACGAGAAGATGGTGAAGCTAGATCCTGATGCACCAACACCAGCGGAACGGGAGCAGGAAGCCATCACAAAACTCAGATACATGCAGGTGGGTCAGGCGAACACGTACCTGCTGCGCCACGTCCTATAACAGGCTATAGACAGACTAGGCCGCGCATACTACAGCACCACCTGTTGTTATATAGGACGTTCTACAAAGCGAGCTTTGATCTTAGTTCCTATACTTTGCCATCCTCGCATTACAGTTGGCTTGGAGTGAGTGAGTGAGTTGGGTTTAACACCGCTTTTAACAGTAACAGCTTTTTCCAGTGATATCGCGGCATGTCAGCTTAATGTGGGAGGAAAGCCCCAAGTGATGCAGATTTCAGACGTTTACCACTTCGGTGAAACCCACGAGCACGGGTATTGTGCTGACAAACCTAGAAACATAATCGGGGCGAACCGGGATTCGAACCCACAATCATAGGTTTCTGGCGTGCCCATGGGACGCAACCCTGCACAGCGAATCGCGGTGCCTTAGACGACTGGGCCACCCGTGCCCCCAGTTGGCTTGGAAATTAAGATTAATAAGTAATATATAATCAGGCGTATGGCTGTTTCATCTTCATAATCTTTGTGAGGGACTTTATACTCTTAAGGCAGTGGAGTAGCCTAGCGGTAAAGCGTTCGCTCGTCACGCCCAGCGACCAGGTTCGAGCCCCACATGGTTACAATGTGTAAAGCCCAGCTCTGGTTTGCCTGTTGTTATGATGTTGGAAAAGTGCTAATATGCTTTGAATAACTTATCTGCTCTTAACCACGTGGTTTTAAGGCTAAAAAACTTTGGTTCCATAGACTACAGCTCTCTTTTCTGTTTCAGTTCAGGGAAAGAGAAAGTTCAACAGCTGATCTTGGTTTCCGGATTGATGCAGTGAGGGTGAGTAGATGATACAGTAAACTGTGGTTAAAACGAACACGCTTATAACGAACTGACGGATATAACGAACTTACGTTTTGGTCCCGACTATTTGCTGTAGTTATGCTGTAGTTATGCTGTATATATGCTTAAAGTGAGTGAGTTTGGTTTAACGCCGCTTTTAACAGTATTCCAGTTATATCACGGCGTATATATGCTTATAACGAACTACGGTTATAACGAGCTAAACTTAGTTCGTTATAACCGTAGTTTAATGTATTAGCCTATGTCACAAAGTGATAATAGAGATACAGGTCTCCTATGTCTTCACAACGTTTTTTTATTGACTTTTTGTTCATTGATATGCCCCTACATGCTCAGCCAGCTCGGGGACAATAGAGTGTGTTGGAGTCGTGGCCATTTCTGGGAATGTTTGGGCCACGGGTGGCCCAGTCATCTAAGGCACAGCAAATCGCTGTACAGAGTTGAATTCCTTAGGCACGCCTGAAACCTGTGATTTTGGGTTCGAATCCCGGTTCGCCCCGTTTATGTTTCTAGGTTTGCCAGCGCCATACCCTTGCTCGTGGGTTACACCAAAGTGGTAAACGTCTGAGACCTGCATCACTTCGTTTCGTCCCACATTAAGCTGACACGCCCTGATATAACTGGAATATTGTTCAAAGCCGTCTTAAACTAAACTCAATCACTCTGATGGGCGGGGCGGTCGGGTAGCCTAGTGGTTAAAGCGTTCGCTCGTCACGCCAAAGACCCGGGTTTGATTCCCGACATGGGTACAATGTGTGAAGCCCATTTCTGGTGTCCCCCGCCGTGATATTGCTGGAATATTGCTAAAATCGGTGTAAAACCACACTCACTCACTCACTCTGACGGGCAGGTTGACAATGCACGTGACCGTATGTGTGTATTTTCCAGATGGCGGGCGAGGACACGAACACCAACTTGAAGAAGGTGAAAACTACAGACCAGGTCAAGGCCACCGTCACCAAGTTCACCCACTTCTGTCCCATGGTAATCAAGCCTCTGTGTGCACGGCTAAAAGATATCCGAGACAGATTTGAAAGATCCAACTTTTTCAAGACACACGAGGTGAGTTTCACGTGATGACGATAAAGCCTCAATTTGTGCTGATTCGTATATACGTACTTTATGGGTCTGTGAAGGTCCGGGTTAGAATTTGTCTTCATCAACCCATGTTTGTCTCCCGGTAAAGACCCGGGTTAGAATAGGTTTTCAGAAATCCGTGCTTGTGGGAATACTAGCGGGATCGGGTGGTCAGGCTCGCTGACCTTGTTTATACATATCATCGTATCCCAATTGCGTTGATCGATGCTCATGATGTCAATCACTGGATTGTCTGGTCCAGGTTCGATTATTTACAGACCGCCGCCATACAGCTGGAATATTGGGGAGTGCGGCGTTAAACAACAAACAAACAAACAATCAAACAAACAAACAAATAGTTCCCTGTAATCATGTTACCTGGCAAGGGGAGTGACAGGTAGGGCGCTGTAAGTTGACATGACTTCTATAGGCCCCCGTGCTATAGCTTGCATGTTGCTAACTGCGGCGTAAAACTACATTCACCCGCACATGGCGAGACACGCATCTCTTAAATCAGGTGACCGAAGTTACAGGTTAAACAAGCCCTTCACCTGTGCTAACTCTGTGGCATCGTATCCCAATTGCGTTGATCGATGCTCATGATGTCAATCACTGGATTGTCTGGTCCAGGTTCGATTATTTACAGACCGCCGCCATACAGCTGGAATATTGGGGAGTGCGGCGTTAAACAACAAACAAACAAACAATCAAACAAACAAACAAATAGTTCCCTGTAATCATGTTACCTGGCAAGGGGAGTGACAGGTAGGGCGCTGTAAGTTGACATGACTTCTATAGGCCCCCGTGCTATAGCTTGCATGTTGCTAACTGCGGCGTAAAACTACATTCACCCGCACATGGCGAGACACGCATCTCTTAAATCAGGTGACCGAAGTTACAGGTTAAACAAGCCCTTCACCTGTGCTAACTCTGTGGCATCGTATCCCAATTGCGTTGATCGATGCTCATGATGTCAATCACTGGATTGTCTGGTCCAGGTTCGATTATTTACAGACCGCCGCCATACAGCTGGAATATTGGGGAGTGCGGCGTTAAACAACAAACAAACAAACAATCAAACAAACAAACAAATAGTTCCCTGTAATCATGTTACCTGGCAAGGGGAGTGACAGGTAGGGCGCTGTAAGTTGACATGACTTCTATAGGCCCCCGTGCTATAGCTTGCATGTTGCTAACTGCGGCGTAAAACTACATTCACCCGCACATGGCGAGACACGCATCTCTTAAATCAGGTGACCGAAGTTACAGGTTAAACAAGCCCTTCACCTGTGCTAACTCTGTGGCATCGTATCCCAATTGCGTTGATCGATGCTCATGATGTCAATCACTGGATTGTCTGGTCCAGGTTCGATTATATGCAGGCCGTCGTCATGTAGCGGGAACATTGCTGAGTGCGGCGTTAAACAACAAACAAACAAAAACATAGTTTATGTGAGTAAGTGAATGGGAGTGGGTAAGATTGTACGCCGCTTTAGCAACAGTACGGCATTTTCACATTCACACTAGAAATGGGCGTAATCGAACCGTCTATTCCTTGTGAAAGTGATGCATTAATCACTGACTCTTGATTATTATCGATCCTGCTTATGCCATAATAATTGTACGTGTTTTTACCAAATAATATTATTTTCAGGTCATTGGGGGTTCGCTGTTATTCCTCTATGACAAGCAAGGACATGCTGGGGTTTGGATGATAGACTTTGCTAAAACCATTCCTGTTGAGGCCAAAATGATGTTAAATCATCGATCACCATGGCAACTGGGAAACCATGAAGACGGGTTTCTGTCGGGTCTGGATAATTTGATCCAGGTAGATCTTGGTTATTTCCCATATGTTTGTTTTTGCTGTATTAAAATATTAACGTGCTGATGTGAGAAGCATTTTTAATAGTCTCCGTTGATGTAAACTGCAGGGCAAAAGAAAGTTCTTGTATATACTTGAAAATTATGTCAGATCTAAAAACTTTTTACGTTATGAAAACGTCAGTAGGCTGAAACACGGCAAACTTAAGGTCCTAAACACAACTATACGTTTCAAATTAAGATGACTATGCTTGTCGTAAAAGGCGACTAACGGGATCGGGTGGTCAGGCTCGCTGACTTGATTGATGCATGTCATCGATCCCAATTGCGTGGATCGATGCTCATGATATCAATCACTGGGTCGTCTGGTCCAAACTCGATTATTTACAGACCGCCGTCATATAGCTGGAATATTGCTGAGTGCGGCGTTAAACAACCAACCAACCAACCAATATCACCATAGAATAACCATTTCTTGTTGGTTTTATTTTAGCCACCATTAAACATGGGTGCATACCTTCATATTATTTCCGGCAGTTATTTTCAGATTAAAAAATTGTTTAATGTTTAATCTGTACAACTGATCATTCGCCCCGCATGTCGTTTATTGGTTTGTTTGAGCATGAATATAAGTATTAAAATATTTATTTCAGACATTTGACGAAATGGAAGCAAGTCAAGGGAGTGAAATTGTTCTTCATTCCCGAGACACTTGAGGCGGACGGAGTTGCCTCCCCTTCCGGAGCGAAGTTCTTCTGAAAGCGTGCCTTGCATGTGGAGAAAATGTTACTCGTCTGATCGTCAAAGGCGTCAGATTTGGAAGAAGTGCTGTTTTTCGCCAGATTTGGGTGCTGTTTTGATTATATGGATTCCAAGGAAATCCAGGACTTTGGAGTGATATCAGAAATCACATTGTTCGTTTTTCAACATCACTGGTAAAAAAAGACGGTGGAGGTGGATGGTGTTTACACCAAGGCGGGATGAATGACGACAATAAGTGTGATCCGCAGAATGAACTCATTATATTCATCAAACCATTCTCTGTGATACCTTTTCATAATTACTGGGTTCATATACGTGTATTGTAGGGCAGTTTCTAACACCTATGCCGTACTCAATGTATTTTACGCTGAGGAGACGATGTGTTCCAAGTGAAAATATTCAGGAATTTGTGTGTGTTTTTTTAGAAATGTCAGTACGTTCATTTTGGTCATACGCTTTATACAGTAATGTATATTATACGTTGTCTCATTTCAGCTCCTCAGAGATGAATTGGTCTTGTTAATGGTTGAAAATATGCAATGCTAAAGCTTGTCTCCAGAATCCAACTCATCGGTCACCTCGTACAGAATATATTGTCTATATGAATATATACAACCGTCATAGACTGACACACAAATATACCACTCAAATATACTACTGTTGTCATATGAAAGAATCGACGTTCTTTAACTTCTTTTGAGTAGTATACGTTACATCCGTGAGCGTTGTGTGCAGAAGTAACAAGCGAGTGTATGTTTTTTTTTGTAGTAAAACAACACAACATAATATTTATTTTTGATATTCCAATGACATAATTTTCATGTTTGTGTTTGTTTCCCCTGTCCTCGTGCATGCGCAATAATTTATGTTATATGTAATGATATTATTGATGTTTTATTTAATTTGAAAAAATTACGTTTATTTTTCCAGATATTTGCTAAAATACGTGTTGAAAAATATAGAATACAGTTAAGGATGAGTTACCGAAATTGACACAAAAGAATTGATTTTGCAATAAGAATCATCAACTTATGTTTCTTGCAATAATTCATTTCAGCTGTGAATAATTTCCCTCGCAATACTATTATTAGTTTCCCTAAAAAACATCAGAGCGAAAGCGTCGGATCGTGAAAAAGAACCAACAAAGCAGTTACGGCGGTGTTGTCTCCCTTGGTACAAAGGGGGATTCAAATCGGGGTTTAAATTGAGCCAGCCAGTGTTGATCGTCGTCACACAACAAGGATAAAACCAGCGAATGTTATATATCAAGCTATACTTCCCAAGGACACAATCATCTAAAATGGTTTTATTATTTATTAGTTTGTTTTGTTATATCGTCTTTAGCTGTCATGGAAGTAGGCCAATATTAAACCGCTACCTGTTTATTTCAATTCTTTGGCTCAGGTCTGTTTTATTACAGAACATCAGTTCAAAATGAAGGAGATATTTTGATTGTACTGGCACTCACATCCATCACTGGGTACCGAGAGGTGTGGGATGCAAACAATAATTCATACTTGTCTATTATGAAGTTCCAGTCCAAGCGAGTAAAGCTTGTGTAGTGTAGACATTCAACTGATGCCTGGCGTTGCTATGCATCACCGAGGGCTAAAATTATTTGTGTTACTACCTGCTCTTGGCTATACTGGTTGATGTAATTTCAAAGACGTTTGGCGTTTTTCGCCGCATATTAAAAAAACAATCAGTTTGGTTTGTGAAAATAAGTGAATATATTTCTTCCTGGAAACTTATGGCATTAAACATATACATGCTCATCCATGGGGTCCCCAACGCCATATTGTGTGCGGCGTAAAACCATACTCACTGTTGTGTCGAGCAGTTTCATTCAGGGTAAAAGTAAAACAACGACAATAGATTCAAAAGGTTCTAATTTATTTCTCCCGGGAATAAAGATGAATAAAAGATGTAATATTTACTCTGTGTGGTTATTATTTTCCTGTTTAAAATACGATTGGTGGACTGTGAGCAAGCTGAAAACGATTCCTGAATTTGACTGAAGCATATCTTTAATTAGCCATGCTCGAAACAGCCGATCTATGTGGTTTGTATACGTGCAACGTGTGGTTACCAAATGTGGATTGAGTGGTTACATTATGTGGATTGAAGGGTGACATTATGTGGATTGAAGGGTGAAATAATGTTGATTGTTTGGTTACATTATGTGGATTCAGTGGTTGCAATGTGCGGATTGTTTGGTTACAATGTGCGGACTGTTTGGTTACAGTGTGCGGATTGTGTACTTACAATGTGCGGACTGTGTACTTACAATGTGCGGACTGTGTGTTTTCAGTGTGCGACTTGTGAGGTTACACTGTGTGCTTACATTGTGCAGATTGTGTGCTTACAATGTGCGGATTGTGTGCTTACAATGTGCGGACTGTTTGGTTACAATGTGCGGATTGTGTGCTTACAATGTGCGGACTGTTTGGTTACAATGTGCGGACAGTGTGCGGATTGTGTGCTTACAATGTGCGGACTGTTTGGTTACAATGTGCGAACAGTGTGCGGATTGTGTGCTTACAATGTGCGGACTGTTTGGTTACAATGTGCGGATTGTGTGCTTACAATGTGCGGACTGTTTGGTTACAATGTGCGGATTGTGTGCTTACAATGTGCGGACTGTTTGGTTACAATAAGCAGACTGTGTACTTACAATGTGCGGACTGTGTGCTAACAATGTGCGGATTGTGTGCGTACGATATGTGGATTGTTTGGTTACAATATGTGGACTGTGTACTTACAGTGTGCGGATTGTGTGCTTACAGTGTGCGGACTGTGTACTTATAATATGCGGATTATGTGCTTACAATGTGCGGATTGTGTGCTTACAATATGTGGATTGTTGTTTTCACGGTGTGTATGACATCGAGACCTAAACCGCCAGTGACCATTGGACCATGTGTTGTAGTCCCTTTAAGAGACTATTATAACCGTACCAAAATAACTACGGCGTACAACTGTAAAACGATGGTGTATCCGTTGTGTAGCTTTTTTTCAAAACACAGTCAATATTTATTTACGTTTTCACGGGAAACATTCTTTCCTTAACAGCAGTTTTATTGTTTTTGGTCTCACTCGTACAATACAGTTACAATATATCAAGAGAAGTATAAAAATAAAATTCTACAACCAGTCGCTAGACGACTTACGAGGTGCAATATGTCATTACAATATACATCAATGATATAAAGTGGAACGTCGCTTTGCTAAAATGTTATGGCAGGTTTTGGCCACGTAAGAAATAAAATCAACGTTTGAGAAAATCTGTGTAAACTTTTCACTATAAGAGTAATTATCAAAATTAATAAATTTAAGATTACAGCGATTAAGAAGATCAGCCCTCACGTCGTATTAAGGGCAGATAAGTAAAACCTGGATCTCGTCTTCCACCTGGCCTGTACAATTAAAGCAACATCTCTCTTCTGGTGGTATGTATGTGAAACGTCCAGTCTCTATCTTCAAAGGCGCCACTCCGCATCTGAGCCAGAGAGCCTACAGCACGGTAGAGAGGGTATTCCACGTGTTTTCTTTGTTACACTTTTTTAAACAACCTGTAGCTTCTTAGTTTGTTTCTTCCACGGTTTCCTTACTCCAACAATAAATTGTACCTCCATTTAGTCTTATATTCCAACATAAGGCGTTCTTGCACCTTTACAACAAATAACTTTGTTTCAATTTAGGTATTTATGCTTGTAAAATGTCCCATGTCGATTCTCTCAAGAGATGATGTCACTTAACATTCCCGTTCCTCTTGCAGCCGCTTGACCACACAATATCTTCTTAGTTATCCTTCAGTTTGGGGTGTTGACACGTCTGGCCCATTGTCTTGAGACTGCTGTCCATGAGTGAGTGAGTGAGTATGGTTTTACGCCGCTTTTAGCAATATTCCAGCAATATCACGGCGGGGGACACCAGAAATGGGCTTCACACATTGTACCCATGTCGGGAATCGAACCCGGGTTTTCGGCGTGACGAGCGAACGCTTTAACCACTAGGCTACCCGACCGCCCCTGTTGTCCATGATCTGATATATGGCGGGATCTAACCTACTTCACCTTTTATTGCAATGTTCGGTGCATATTTTCCAAGTCCTAGGAAAAATCGAAGAGTTCGATGGTGGATAGCATTGACAGCATAATGCTCTGTCGTTCCCCATATTACCGACCATACCATAGTGTCGTATAGTTTGGTATAAACGTTAAAAGGCATACCTACAAGTCCTTTGTATTAAGAAGTCCCAAGGCTCATTTAGCCAGTGCGTTACGGCCTAGGTGTTTGGTTAAACACACACCGATATAATGATACGAAAGTTCAACGCCTAATACGACATCACCACAATAGAATACGGTTGCTGTTCTTGGAATGCTAGAACCTCTAAAGTGGAGGGGCGGTCGGGTAACCTAGTGGTTAAAGCGTTCGCTCGTCACGCCGAAGACCCGGGTTCGATTCCCGACATGGGTACAATGTGTGAAGCCCATTTCTGGTGTCCCCCGCCGTTATATTGCTGGATTATTGCTAAAAGCGGCGTAAAACCTCACTCACTCACTCTAAAGTGGACAATCTTGGATTTTGTCTGTGTTTACATACATCTTATTATTTTGACACCCTGTGTTCAGGGCTGATAAGGGAGTTGCTGCATTTTCTGCCAAGAGAACGATATCGTCTGCATTAGCTAATGCAGCAATATGTGACTTCCAATTTGAATTTACTTTCCAAGCTCGTTGGTGGTCTTTAGTAAGTCATTAACATACATATTAAATGAAGGTGCTAGAAGACATCCCTGTTTCAGTCCTCTGCTCAACGGGAACCATGATGTATAAACGTGATTAATGCACACAGAACATTTCACATTGTAATAGAACGACATGATGGCTTGCAACATTTTCCCACCTATGCCCGCTTCATTTAACATTCTCCATAAAATCTGTCTGAATAATAATAATAATAATAAACTCCATCATACGCCTTTTTAAAATCAACAAACTCTGTAAATGTAGACTTTCTCAATAACTTTCTCTTTTCAGTTATGCTTGTCAATGATGAGATGTGGTCAACCGTTGATCTTCCTTTTCGGAAACCATTTTGTACATCAGATAGAATGTCATTCTTTTCAGCCATGTGTTGAGTGGCGCATTAAGCATCCCAAAATAAACTGGGGCAAGTGTAATCCCTCTGTAGCTGAGCGGGTCTCGTGCATCCAACGCTGAAGATTTAGGAATTGGGTTGATGATCCCTTTTGACCACAGTTCCGGAATTCGTGATGTTTGGAAGCAAATATTAAAAAGCTTATGTAACCATATAGCTGTAAATTCCCCACTTAGTAGCTGTGTCGGGATAATGTCGACTCCGGGGGCCTTTCCATTTTTTGGTTTTCTAAGGGCTGCCTTTACTTCTGGTATTGTTATGTCTTCTTTAAAAGCCTCTGGTGAACCATTCTCATCTGGAACCACACTGTCGAGGTGAAGTGAGGTGAAATTGGGTTTAACGTCGCGTCCAGGACTATTGCACTTATATAGCGACGTGCATGCACGTGTGTGTGTGTGTGTGTGTGTGTGTGTGTGTGTGGCTGTTTGTACTAGTCCGGACGGATGCCGATTTATAGTTCTAGCCCACTGAGAAACCATGCCGCAGTTTAACATGAATACCCCACTCAGACATTGTATACTGACTCCGAGACGACCAGTCCGTGTTTTAGCCCCTTAATGCCGAGCGCCAGACAGGGTAACAACAAGTACCATCTTTTAACGTCTTTTGGTATGACGCGGTCGGGGATCGAACCCCGGACCTTCCGCTCCCCGGGCGGACGCTCTACCACTGGACCGCGGAGGCGGTCACCACACTGTCGACAACGTCATTACCGTCACTGGTACCGTTTAATAACCCTTCATAGTCTTCTCAAGCACCTTTTCTGTCTTTACACACTGATCCATTCTCCAGCACGATGTCCATTGGTATTTGTTTTCTGCGTTCACTACCGATACCGACCTTTCCTTTCCTCCACCAGAACTCGTCTCTGTTCTCCTTACACATATTTTCCGGTTCCTTATGTACCCGACTTTTATATTGTCTTTTCTCTGGTTGAATACAATTGTCAAACGCTTTCCTCAACCAGATATATCGGTGTTTTAGTTGTCGTAGACATACCACTTGCCTTACGCCATTCCTTTTCTGCTGCCTGGAAGCTTTTCTTACTTTTCCTGGGTGATAATATCAGCACAGCAATTATAAGCGTTATCAATACACGATTGGTCCTTAACTGAATTTTCAAGTTTGTATATTATGCCTCTCAACATTTCTTTTACATCCTCTGACTGTAGGAAATCACCTGGTATCGGGGATCGAACCCCGGACCTTCCGCTCCCCGGGCGGACGCTCTACCACTGGACCGCGGAGGCGGTCACCACACTGTCGACAACGTCATTACCGTCACTGGTACCGTTTAATAACCCTTCATAGTCTTCTCAAGCACCTTTTCTGTCTTTACACACTGATCCATTCTCCAGCACGATGTCCATTGGTATTTGTTTTCTGCGTTCACTACCGATACCGACCTTTCCTTTCCTCCACCAGAACTCGTCTCTGTTCTCCTTACACATATTTTCCGGTTCCTTATGTACCCGACTTTTATATTGTCTTTTCTCTGGTTGAATACAATTGTCAAACGCTTTCCTCAACCAGATATATCGGTGTTTTAGTTGTCGTAGACATACCACTTGCCTTACGCCATTCCTTTTCTGCTGCCTGGAAGCTTTTCTTACTTTTCCTGGGTGATAATATCAGCACAGCAATTATAAGCGTTATCAATACACGATTGGTCCTTAACTGAATTTTCAAGTTTGTATATTATGCCTCTCAACATTTCTTTTACATCCTCTGACTGTAGGAAATCACCTGGTATTAGTTTATCATGACATT